TTCAGGTGGTTCTTTTAAGGAGTGGAGTATTAGAAAACCAGCAAATGAAATTCTGCCATCAAAACACCTTCAAGTGTAATACACTAAATATTGACATTTCCTTCTTAGTTTTTGCTAGCAGTAAGTAATAGCAAATATGACCGACATGAATGGAAATAGAGAATGCTATAAGATCTCTCCCCCACCCGCTCTCTATATATAATTTCCTATATACCTACTGCAGGATTTTAAATTTAGCTTTAGAAAAGTGGCACGTGTTATACTGAAATGTTATGTGCAGTTCAATCAAGCCCTACCAAGCAAAAATTAACAAGGACCCAGACGAGGTGCTGTGTGGGAGCGGGCGAAGAGAGAGACGAAAGTTTGTCAGTCGCCTTGTTTCCAGCGTCAGCCCGCTTTGCAGTCTGTGCCGGATCCTCAACAAGTTCTTACTGTGAAATAACTACCGCACACCCCATGGATGTCGAGGAGATCACTGCCTTGCCCGCTCATCAAAACTGATTCCCGACTGCAACCTTCCGCAGTCTCCCTAGGGAAGGCGATTCACGCATAAGTGGCGGAGAGCTTGCCAGTCCGGGGCCACAAACGCCAGGAGAACTCTTTAAAAATAAAATACAAAAGGAGTCGCATCCCCTCATATTGCTTGCCCACCGCGGCACCATCACATCTCCCCGCAAGCAATTTTACCTGTTGCTGTATTCCAAGGAAGGAGCGTCTCCTTTAGCTGCAAGAATCCCGGCGCAGCGTTGAGAGCATTTGAGATAAAACCATTTCATGGGTATTTCTTGCGAGGGCGGCTGGCGGGCGGCGCGCGGGCGGGCGCAGAAGGCTTCTGGGGTCCCTTTTTCCTGTCGAAAAAAGCCGCCTTCAGCTCTCCTTCTCAGTCGCTCAGAGCGCAAACATTCCTCACTTCCTGCCTCGACGACGACGACGACAACAACACCACGAACAAATCGAGTATGGATATCATTCCACTGGGCAGAGAGTCAGAGGAGGAAGACGTGGAGGGAGGAGGAGGAGAAATCCTAGAGCAAACGGAGGTTTCCCTCAGCCCGCCGCCTTCCTGTGACAGAGAAAGCCCCTGGACCGGCAGAGCGCTCGGCTAGTCTCGCTCGCCCCCTCGCCCACCCGTCCGTCCGTCCGCCACCCCACTTGGGCGCCTTTGCCAGCAGCACGGTCGTGTGCGAGAGAGCTTCGGGTGGCTTTGCCCCACTCCCCCCGTCCCCTTTCTTTCTTGCCTGCTTTCTTTCCCCTTTTGGAGGCGTTCCCCTTCGCTCCAGTCATGCGGAAGGATACGGCGCGATCATTAAAGTACAGCCCTCTATGTTTGCAGCCCCATTACCTCAGAGATCTGGAATGCTTGGCAGGGAATGTCAGCAATGGGACAGCTGCTGCGTCCCGGGCTTGGACGGGAGGAGGCCGAGCAGGGGAGGAGGCGGGGGTGGCACGCCGCGAGCGAGAGACCAAAGGAGCTGCACGCGCACGCTCCGCTGCCATGACCCTTCCGTCGCTCGTTCTAACTTCACGATATCGCGCTAAATTATTAGTAGCAGTGCCATGACTATTCACCTGATCGTAGAAATCTAATCTATGCAACCTCTTGAGGCCTAGCCTCCTTAGCCTGGCACAGGAAAAAGCGTCTTGACCACGGAAGCTTGTGCTGGAATAACATTCGTTTTTAAGCCTTTAAGGCAGCAGTGCGCGCCAGATGTTTTGGCCTACCGTCCCCATTAGTTCTAACCAGCCTAGCCAAGCATGAGGGATGCTGGGAGGGGTAGGCCAAAACAGCTGCAGAGCCGCAAGATGCCCATCCCTGCAGTTTAAGGTGCAGCATCAGACCCTTGTTAATCAACACAGATAGCTAGCTGCCAGTAGGCACAGAAGCGTGGCACAGTTTCACAGCAGGTGGAATGCGTCATTTGATAACCCCTGAATGATGGACTGGGCTTTGTTACACGGATGCTCAATCAACAACTTGCCAGTTTTCATTGACCAGCCTACATTTTGGCCTTCTGTCATTCCATCTTTAGAAAATTAGCCATGTTTGAGTATTCCTGGATTTTAATCTCCCTTCTTTCCTTTTTCCAGATGTGGGAGTTTCAATTTCCTCCAAAGCCTTGGACAGATAAATCTACCTGGGTTTGTCATATAACAATTTTAATGCCAGTTAATACTGTTTTGACATGTATCAAGAAAAATATTAAAGCATCTAGGGATACTTGCATTTATTTTAAGCCTTTCCAATCCAAGCAATAGGACTTTCCACATAGAGTGTTTTTCTGTGAACAGCTCTTGAAAATAACTTTTAAACCTACCCTTGGGTGTATTTTCTTTTAAACATGAATGATTATTTAAAAAATGTTTATATAGTAGAGATACAATGGCATTTGCAATATCAAAACATTCCAACCCAAGTCAGATCTCCCAGCTGCACTACAACATTAGGCATGGTAATTGTGCCTTGAAATAATTGCACTGTTTAAGCAGTTAGAGACAGTTTAAACATCTTTGGCACAACCTTCAACTCTCCATACCACTAAATTCCTTCCATTACACAAATTGTCCCTTTACTCCTAACCTATCCTCTTCTTCCTGTTCTTTAATTAGTTACTAAGTTCGCTTGTTCCATGACTCCCAAGGAGCCATTGGGAAAGGCATTTACTGAAAATATTTTCATAGTGCAAATATATTACATCTCCTGAAGCACTCCAGTCCAAATACTTACTGAAACTCCTGAAGAACTCCAGAAGTTTGGTGAGGCTGGATATCACTTTGCAGAAGCTACACTGATTCTTCCTCAGCAATTATTGCCCATTGATATACTTAATCTATTTCTATACACTTATTGCAATGTATGCTTAACCATGCTTTCCACCAATATGCCCAGAACAAATGTTAACCTCACAGATATGTATTTTTTAATATCTACACATTCCTCCCCATCTCTTTAGAAATGACCATTTTGTTGGCTGTTTTCCATTCCTCTGGTGAAGAACTGCAGGCTTTCATCCATTCCTCCAGAGGACTTTTTTTTACAGACCTTCACTAAATTACCTGAGGACCACTCTACTGCCTAAATTTGTAAAATATGACCATCCCCCCAAAAAATATAGAAATAATTGAACCCAGTTTTACACTGTTTTCTCATTTACTATGCTGAGTATTTTCTCCTCTTTTGACTTGCCTGAGCATTTATAGGATTATAGGATATGGTGGTCATTCCAGCAGCATAGCAACAGTTTATCTCTCTCTACACAAGGGGGGGGGGGGGGGGAGAGGGGGATAGAAATAGGTATATAGAGAGAATGCAACTGGAGTATAGAATTGCTTTGCCCAATTCCTTTATCTCTAGCTGTTGAGGTGTAGATACCTTCCAAGGGAGAATTTCAGTGTGAAAAAGTTCCTCAGGTTCTTTGAAATTTCTCCAGCTTGCTTTAGCAACCCTTCATTTCCTTGTCACCTAGCAGCCTAACTATCGCTCTGTTTTCCTGATTCCGTTATTTGGAGGTGGTTTTATCTACTGTGATGTTTTTAGCAATATAATGTTCAAATTCTTTCTTCATATGCATTAGTGCAAAATTACACTATGGAGTTTGTGCTTTTTGTTCTTCTGGGCAAGATTTCCACATTTTAAAGGATGCTTTCTTGTCTTTTTAAGTGTCCTTGGCTAACAATGTTGGCATCTCCTTCCTAATCTGTAGCTGAGTGTCTATTATTGTGGTTTTAAATTTCCTTCAAGCATCCTGGAGAGATTTGACCCCCACCCCCACCTTAACTCTCCCTTTCAGGGATTACAATATTTACATTCTGGCAATATACTATGAGGATATAGTTACAGTTCCTCCTCATAGCATAGTACCAAATAAATTCATTTGCAGTTTAGTCTCATCTTCCTTCCATGAGGTCCAGAATGGTTTAGTAATAAATATTTACATATCACTTTTCTCCAATCTGTTGTTATCACAGATACCTGAATAATAACCCTGTAAAATAGGTCAATTGTATTGTCCTCATATTCACTGGTGGAAAGCTGAGAGAATGACAATGAGCAGACAATCCAGTCAATCCAGACAATCCATGTAACTCAGAGGATTATAGGCATCCTGTGCAGGATGGAAAAACATGGAGGTCAGGTTCACCTCTTATGCTCCTTCCACCCAACAAAACACCCACCTTGTTTGAGTTATCCTGTGGGCAGCTGGTTTGCCATTTTGTGTACAGAATGCTGAACCAGATGGAACTTTGGTCTGATCCACCATGGCTTATCTTATGTTCTTTAGTTCTTATGAGTGCCATGCCTTGTGTGTGAGGGACATCTGTCTCGTCCACTCTTTGTCCCTTGGAATTATCACAAAAGTCCTTCTCTAAGGTTGTGTTTGAGACCTGGAAGAAGCAGTTGGCACACGTCTTTCACAGTGGTTGCAAGTGTAGGAAAAGTGTTCAGAGCTCCACAAACCCAGAGCGAGTTTCCAAGCTTCTATAGCCATCCTGATTCTGTTCAGCAGCCATAGGATTGAATCAAGATTTGAATAAAGGACTGTCACATGCCTTACAATTCAAACTGGTTTTCACTCTTTGTATGCCGTTCAGGTAGCTTTCAGCCCAAGAATAGTCTTCTAAATAACTTCCCTATTAAAGGAGAGTTTCTATTTTTCCAGTTCTGTTTTCTCACGTGGAACTACATGAGGCCTTCAAAGAAGAGTTCCTCTGGCTGGAGTTGTAAGACTTAGGAGAGAGAAGAAGGCTGGGGCAGTTTCAGGATACCTCACGTCCTGGCTGCCCCACTCTCCTTCCCCCTTGAAGCACCCCCTTTTAACTCTCTCTGAGGTGGTTTTTCTAAGATCGGAAAGGAGCCAGGGCCGTTATTCCTGATCAGTTCCAGTTGCCAGCTACAAGACCGGAACACAGCTCCAGTGGCCTCTCAGTCATTGTACAGTGGCCATGTTTTTATGTATACTTATGTATACATGGGGACTGCAGGTGGCACAGTGGTTTAAACCGCTGTGCTGGTAGATCAAAAGGTTGCTGGTGTAAATCTGCACAACGGGGTGAGTTCCTGTTGCTCTGTCCCAGCTCCTGCCAACCTTGCAGTTCGAAAGCATGCAAATGCAAGTAGATAAAAAGGTACCACTTCGGTGGGCAGGCGTTCCGTGCACTTCGGTGTTTAGTCATGCCGGCCACATGACCACGGAGAGTGTCTGTGGACAAACGCTGGCTCCCTCGGCTAGGAAACGGAGATAAGCACCGCCCCCTAGAGTCAGGCATGACTGGACTTACCTTTATGTATACATGCTTTTATGTATATTATGTTTCAAAATATTTGAAAGGTGGTTTATAGTTACATTTGAGAATTTTTGAATGCAGGCCTATAGATAGAGCAGATGGTGATTATCTTGGGGAAAAACAACTATGATGGACATTAATCCAACCAAAAGCTGGCATTCAGTCTCTAAAGACTTATGAACAGACAACTGATATAGATAAAATCATCACTATCACTATCTGATTAACTGAAACCTGCTCCAGGGGTTTCAGTCAAATGCAGCTCATGCAAAAACAAAACAAAACAAAACAACCCCCTCCAAAAAAACACCCTCTTTAGGGACCTTCCATCCTTTCCTCTTATAGTCCTTGTCAGTGAGAACTAAAGGGCCTTCTTCATGACTGCTCCCCAGCTCTGGAATTCCTTCCTTAGCTCCCTGTCAGTTGTCTGTAGGCTGGCAGGAAAATACTTTTTTATTCAGAGGAACCTTGTGTATACACAGTGTTCTGTGGATAATGGGGGTTTTAACTGGCAGAATGCTGTTTATTTCTTTTACTGGTGTACTATTACTAGGTTCTACTGTTTTTGTTTATTTTATGCTCACTCTAGTTAAGATTTTGTTTTTAATTTGTATTTTATGGCTAGCTGTCTTGAGCACCATTTTGGGTAAAAAGGTGGGATATAACATAAATAAATAAATAAATGAAAATATTTCATAATTGTGTTCATTTTCAAATAGGTTGAGCATAAGTGGAGGCACAGTTTACACATACCGAAGTCCACTACTCCCACGCAAGTAAACAAAATTATCTATGGGAGCAAGCCTATGCATGTTTAGACAGAAAAAGTCTACAACTCTCATCATTCCCAAGCCAGCATTATAGGAGCTCGTGACACTTTAAAAAAAAAATGTTTGAACATACACTCACAGGTCAATTGCATGTATGAGATCCAGCAGGAAAAGTAAAAAATGTTTGTGCTATGAATGAGCTTCTTGAAATTTAACTGTGGTGAGCTTCTGATCAGATGTTTGTGAATAGGGAAGTCACTATGGGCAATACCTGGTTAGACCTCTATGTGACAAGCAAGTGTTAATCATCCAACATATTTCCGTAAGAACTCATTGTTAGGCTTAAAAACAAAAAACAAAAACCTCTAACCTGTTCTGAATGGCTAGGAAATACCTGAAAGAGGACAAAAGGTAGACCTTCCCAGATATTTTCCTATGAAGGAAAAGAAGAGCAGACTAAAACAGAGAAATACAGTGAGCTGGTTTGCATGTTTGTTATACTGAAACTGAGAATGCTTTTTTAGGATTGGGGTAATGTGGAATTGCAGCATATTGTAAGAGCAAGGCTAATTGGAGTTATGTGAGGGTTAAACGACCTTCACATGATCTATGATGAGCAGGCTCCATTGTGTGAACTGGCTCAATGCATTTGGTCTCTGTATACCTCATAAGATGCTGGCCTAAATATATGAAATGGGAGTAGTGGATTTTGGTATACATAAGCTGGGCCTCCATCTATGTCCTTCCTGAATATCTGTAAATAAACCCAATTAGTATAAAATGCCAATAAAGTTCCAGTTACAGCCTTACAAGGAAACAACACCTGGGAAAGCCCTAGATCCCTAGACATTCTCATTGTTCTTTATTCATGGCTTTGTAAAATTCCCTTAATTGTAAACAGGGAGTGAAAACTTCTGGCTCAAATTCTAGGTGGTCTCAAACCTGGCCCACCTAGAGTCTCAGCCCCGTCCTCCAGGGTTCACCAGAAGGACGCCTCCCTTTTCTCCAACCATCTATTGTTTGGTGGTTTCCCAGCAGTTGTCCCACTCCCTTGGCCAAGGCTGTAATGCCTTTCCCAAGGCTTAGTTACTGGCAGCAAGTGCTATAAGTTAAAATATGCAGGGAGCGGTGCCCAAGAGCTTATCTGAAATGGAATTTGGCCCTTGAACTGAAAAAGTTTCAACACCCCATGGTAAATGTTCCTGCCATCATTTGATTTGAAATTAAAGTGAGGTTAGCATTTGATTTTTAAAATTATTTTAATATGTATTGGTTAATTTTGTGACCTTTCCCTCTTGAATTATTAAAATTTCAAGATAAGTTATCAGTAAATCTCCACATTCACAATTTAAACATTTCCTAGTACAAGAATAGCTATGCCCCATCAAACTGTAACCAAAATAGATGTTTAATGTGCTTTGGAAAACAACCGTGCATGGCAGATGTACCGGAAATCTACCCTATGCAACTCAGGGCCAACCTGAGAGTAACCTAATGCCCCTCAGATATCTTGGACTAGAGTTGGTGTTATTCCTAGCCATTGTCCATGTTGGCTGGGGCTTATGAGAATTGTAGTCTAGCACATTCGGATGATATCTATTTTTTAATTAAAATATTGGAATGGATTTTATTCTTGCACTGTTGATTTTATTGTTTTATTTCATTGTTTTAATGTTTTTATCAGTCTGCTCATGATTTTATTGGAAATCACCCAGAGAGACCTTTGGGCTATAGAGCAGCATATAAATAAATACCTTGTAACCGACCCTGGCATCCCAAGTGGTCTCTTCCCATTCTTGTCTGGACTTCCTGATGTGCAACATACACAATCCTCAGATGCCTTAAAAAAAGTGGGATAGATTGCGCAGTAGTCACAAGACAGTTTTGCAATTTAAAAAAAGACAGTTTGGAATCAATACAGCAGGAGCAATCTTACCCATGTAGAGACAGAAAATGTACAACTTTTCACATTCCCTAGCCAGAACTTTTTTGTGTCTGCACATGCATAGGATTGTGCCCTGAAGCAGTTTGGAATCTTATTGTGGCTCTGTGAACCACAGCTTAACGTTGCTTGGACAGAGCTCAGATCCTTCTTCAGTCTCTAAAGCTCAGATTTCACCACTCTGTACTTCTTTCTCACTTGATTCCAGGAAAGTCCTCAATGTTCTCCATCCTGGTAAAGCTGAGTTAATGCAACCTTACTGAAATGGCAGTTGGGTGATTCATAAATGAGAGCCTTATACACAGGTTACCTCCAAGGCAAAGACAACTCAGACCCTCTATGATGCAGAACTGCGGGTGAGGGAAATGGTTATCCCCATAGCCAATCTGACCTCTGGGAACAACTTTGTTTTAGAAGGACTGCTACAGTAATATGCATATAACATCTACTTTGGCCCCCAGCCTCAGTTCTTCTGTGAAATATTTAACCTTATCAAGTCACCTTTTAGGACTGTTGTGCAAACCCTGTGGGTTTGATCCAGTTTTCTAGTAGAATGGATTTTTTTTCATCTCTTCTTGCTGCTACAACCACCTTTTGTCCCCAAAACTTTTCCTGAGGCTGAAATGTACCTCAAAAAGGCCCCGAGATACAGAGCTGGGTATTAATAGGTGGAAATTAATTTGTAAAAATTGGACAGGTTCCCTGATCCTGAGACACTTGTTTGGAAATACAGAGTGCTCCAGTAGGGTAGGACAAGAAAGCCCAGTTGAATAAGTTTTTGGAACACTGGATCTAGCAGTGAGGGAATGGAAAATTAAAAGTGAACTAACAATGAATTTGAGTAATTGGAAACCAATTATGATAAAGGCTCAGAAAAAATTCAAAAATAATCTGAGACCTGAGAAAAATGTCTTACAATGGGAGACACTGATTTAATTTATCAGACAGAAGACTATATACGCTTGTGGCTATTACCTTAGAAAGTTGGAACGTTCAGTAGGGAGAACGTCAGCAATGGAACAGCTGTTGTTTTAGCTAAGGAGCCCTTGCAGAAATACATATGGGGGTTACAACAAATAGCAGCTGAACAGTTCTTTTTCATTATATGTTCATTTATATTAAGCCTTTCCGATTAAACTAAGCCTCTTTCCAAATGTATTGGTCTTATTTTTATAGCTCCCAGGAATATTTTAATCTTTCCCATAAATTAGGTTCACAGACAGTATCAGTGGGCCAATGGGCATATTTTTAAATGTCTCTGACCTGAAGCAAAAATACTTGTGATCCAGCAGCTGATAAAAGTGTAAAAAAATCCCACTGCTGTCCTAGACTCTAAGAGGGAGAAAAAAAATACAAAGAATAAACTAAATACTGCAAAATAACTTTAAACATGAATGTGCAGTGATAATTGCAGATATAAAGCATTGCAGCTGCTTGGAACATTCTTCAGGAATAGAAGATAAATCTCCAATAAGCTCTTTTATTATCTCTTTTTGCTATTGCAAAGGGATTGGTATTTTCCTTTTTTGAATGTTTTTAAGGGTGCTAGACAAAACAAACAACACTGTGTGTTGGTATCAGAACATTAGTGAATAGCATTAGTGAACAGCAGAATATTTTTATTATTCAGTTCAAATAGATCTTTAAAACCATAAAGTATAATTCCTGTTCCTTTTCAACAAAGTGAATGTCTCCAAAAGTCCGTTTCTGTTTCTGGCAGTCAAAGTACATGTATCTTCTTGTTTACAAATGACAAAACACGAAATCTTATCTGTACATTAGTTTTACTGTTATATTCCACTAGCAAGTCTATTAAGGTGCATCAGTTTCTCAATCAAAAGTACATATGTGTAGGTAAGACTGGGACTTCTAACCTAAGGAGGCAATAAGAATTGAACAAAATTGTTAGATCACAATTAACGGGAATAAAAAGAAGAAACATTCCAAAGATGTTAGAAATGTTTTTAGTTACTAAACTTTCTTGATCTGCCCTTCATCTTTTGACTTCCAGGAAATGTAAAAGAACTATTAAAATAATACACAGTACAATATAACCACTAAAGTGCACCCCCATACATGTTTACCTCAGAAATAAATCTCAGTTACAGGTATGTAAAACTTACAGCTATGTTTGTTTTCTTAAAACCTAAAGTAGAAATCCAACACACACCTGTGAGTCTGGTTTTGTTGCAACTAGTCACAGACCAGCCCATAAAGAACGAAGTACAGAATCAGCTAGCAGATACAGATTAGAGTTGTAAGTGCAAAACAGACAAGGATAGCAAACTCAGTGTGGCTTACTACTGAGTAAGCATGCATAATTCGCACTGTAAAACACTAAAAGCACAGAAATGGTCTAGGATATTGCATGACAGCGAGTCAATCCTAGGTCAATATTATTTCCAACACCTTTGGTATGTATAGCAAGAGGGAAAAACAGTTTGGACTACTACGTAGTCACAGGGACAAGGAAATATGCGTGTCTTGAAACTGGCCGAATGGGGTAATGAAAAAGACGGAAGACAGACATTCTCTAGGAAAGCTTTTTCGCCCTACAGATCCCCCACTTTCTTGTAACCTTGACAACTGAGCAGGAAAAAACACCACCACCAGACCCTCCACCTGTGCCTTTATCAGTGACTTGAGCCGGCCGCGTTTCATATCCGTCCCGTCCAGCCTCTCTCCAAGGGGGCACAAGCAGAAGCCTCTCAGCGAGGCGGTTGTGCGGTTCTTCGGGCCGGCCTCGCAAGGCCCACCGGCGGGCGGTCTTCTTTTCCCCACCTCTCCCTCTCCGCAAGCCCCATCTTCTGCCCCTCCGCCAACCGGCAGAGGGCGCTGCGCGCGGAGGCCATTCTCGGCTGTCGACCGTCTCGTTCTCCCAGCCTCTGGCCAGCTTCGGGTCAGGCCTAACTTGTTTTCGGTAGCAGCGGGACGGGTGGCGTTTGGCCGAATCGGTGGTCATGGAGATCGGCACCGAGATCAGTCGCAAGATCCGGGTGAGGCAGAGGGAGATGGGGCGCCGGGGACGCTGAGAAAGGGCCGCCCGGCGAAGGGGAGCGTCGGGCGGGAGGAAAGCCCCACGGATCGTGTCCCTGCCAGCCCAGTGGGCCCAGACCCGCCGTCGCCCCACACGGACCAATCAGCCCTATAGGCAGGAGTGGGGGTCGCCTTTTGTCTTAAACGGGAGGCCGCGAATAAGATGCTTTGTGGCTGCCGCTCTTATGTTCAGACGTTATCGTCGCTTCCCCGATCCTGGCCCTCTCTTCCAGCCCCATATTTCTATAGGACCTAAAGGGCTTGTAGGGCAGTGACTTACAGAAGCCTCTTTCGCATCTATCGGGACGGTGAGGTCGTGGTGGTTTTGGCAAGTTCTGGAAAGCCTTATCTATGTATACAGATTTCATATAGTCCCCATGTTTCCGAGTTTACTGTATTTCCGAAGCGATCTACCTCTTCTTACCTCCTCTCTCACTGCCAAATTTTTATTAAAAGCTACATCGGTTGTGGGAAAAACCCCATAATGCTGCATATTTACAATATTGTAAATGGATGGCGATCCACCCCATTCATTGTGTGCCTATATGTGGGGAGGGAATGCCAAGTGAGTGGCATGCAGTGTGTTTAAGTTCTAGTGTATTTACTCAAAAGTAAGTCCTGATGAATTTTAATAAATTGACTTTCAGCTAGGATAATGAAAAGCTGCATTATCCCAAGTCTAATAGTTGATCCGTTAGGGTAGTATTGCCTATGTTGCCTATGTTGACTGGCAGTGGTTTTCTAGGATTTCAGACAGATTCCTTTTCCAGCCCCAGTTGAAAAACCTGGGATTTTCTGCATCCAATTATGTGCTTTAGCACTAAGCTATGACATTTTCCTTCACTGCACACCTAAATATGCATTAGATTTGTAGCCTTATTCCAGCCATAATATAATGATGGATATCTGGGCACATTGTTCTGATTCTTTCAGCTCTTTACTATGAAATGGAAGACAGGTTATTCCTGGCTAATAGTCCCTTTTTGATTCTGAACAGAGATTTCAGCAATTTTCAAGTATTTGGGTCAATTACTGCCTAGCTTTACCAACAGGAATTAAAACAATGCTGGTTTAAAACTAAATAGAGTCATTCTGTAAACTAGCAGACTCTTCTAAAACTTTTGGTCATATATTGTACATGCTTTTCAATTTGCAGAATTAAGTCTATTTACTCAACAATGGAGAGATCTCAGTTTGGATTTGTCTTTATGTGTGCAAGACTACTAAGCAGTAGTACTTAAAGAAGGGGTGCAGAACCCCAGGCTTGGGGTCTCAGTCTGCTTTCTGGGGTTTTCCAGAAGGTCCCATCCACTTTCCCCAGACCATTTTGGTGGTTTCCAAATCAATGCTGCCTTGGTGGGTTTTGTGTACTTCCCCACCTTCATTCTAAAAAACTAAAATGCTGCTCCTAATGCTTACTTACAAAAAGAGCTTTAAATTAAAAGGGGTGGGGTTTTGCCTCATCCCTTTTGTCTTTGCCTTCATTCACCACTGGAATGCAGCCCCCAAGAACTTATCCAAAATAGAATTTGCTGCTCTGACTGAAGGAGGTCTAACTATCCTGACTTTAAAAGTAATGCTACAGTCCTGTACACTTTTATTAGCAGTTAAGTCCCATTGAGGGACTTTTATGAAAACATTCATTGGATTTGGTTATAAAATTCTATACTTTTTTAGAATCAAAATTTCATAGTTCTTGGAAAAATTCACTTTCTCCTTGGAATAAAAATGTTTCTCTGTTTGTGTACATGTGTGTATGCATGTCCATGCTATTTAGTTAATAGAGTCACAAACACTCATGATTTGGGAACTAAATCACTGCAGAATTTGAAATACTTGCAGGGCATAAAGTACTGATATCAGAGATGAACCAGATGAGTTCATTTGATGATCCCCAGTGAATATCAATCAGAAAGCATTATGCAGCTACTCTGTTTCTTCTTCTTGAATGGATTTTCTGCAGTAACAAAACTGATGGAAGAACTGATGAGGAAGCTCAGAAAATTTTTAATTGGAAAAATCACTTGGACCAGCACTATCCACCTCTAGTAAAATTCCATGAATGAGGCAAGTCAGCAGCAGGATAAACTCATCTGGAAGCACCCTTTTTTCCCATTTACTTTTAAACTGAGATTTAAAAAAAAGTTACTAAAATTGATTTTAAAAATGGTTTAAATAAACCAGTATTTATTAAATATCCAAATAAAATATCCAGTTATCATACATTTTATCCCCCTTAGTATGAAGCAGATACTCGCTCTTTTGCCTTTAATAATAATGTGTCACAGTAGTTAGAGTGTTTGATGGGGGCTTTTTAGATCTACATTTTAGTCCCCACTCAGCCATGAAGCTCACTGGGTGACTTTTGGCTAGACACTGACTTTCAGCCTGACCAACCTTACAAGGCTGTTGTGAGGATAAACTAGAGAGGAGGATTGTACAAGCTACCTTGGATTACTTGCAGGAAAATAGGGGCAATACAAATATAATATATAAATAATGGTAGCTTACACATCCCAGTGCATGGGTGCTGCCTAGCCATGGATCCTCATGAAAGCACTCCCTTAGCTAAGAGCCATCCCTTGTTTTTAATTCTGTTTGCTGAACCATAATATTATGACAGTGAAGCCATATTGATAGCACAGTTTTAGCTGGTTTCAATAAATCACACTGATTTTCCTCTAGCCCAAAAAGGCTGTATCGGAAATCATTAGGTCCCATGCCATGCTGCAACTCAGCCTGTAACTAAAACTAAGCAATCACACCCCTCCAAGCTAAACCTACCCTTGAACCTCTGCATATTCTTTCTGCTTTCCCTTCTGTTCCCCTGTCATTTCCTTTGGCTGAATTTTAGATTATTAGCTCCTTGGGACAGAGATTACTGATGGTGACAGAGCAATAAGTGAATGAATACTTAGCTGCCACTTGCATCCCTGTTATACCTTAAGAACAAACTTATTTATTTACCTATATTCCATCTTTCCTCACAAAGTGTGTATGGTGGCTGATGATGTTCATAAACTCCACAGTGCACACAAATGTCGTTGAAATTTCAGTTCTAAAATAATGAATATAATAAAATGCAACTAATTATCAATTGGATAAGCAAGATAATGAGTGCAATTAAACAATCGTTTTGTGTTTGAGACTGCTAGAGCTCTTTTTGAATATTTTGAAGCTGAAATTCTTCATTCTTAAATGCCTTTCCCCTCGTTTTTTCATGTAGAGTGCTATAAAGGGAAAGCTACAGGAACTGGGAGCATATGTTGGTAAGTTGCATCTTAATTATTATTGCATTAATAGCTCACTTTTTTCCTCAAGAAACCCAAGATTGTGAACATAACCCTTTCCTTTTCCCTTTTATTCTTACCGTACCCATGGGAGGTAGGTGAGTCTGAGAGCCACTGACTGGTCCAAAGTCAGCAAAGAGAAAAGTCCTAAGCTATGCAGAGCTTCAGTGAATAAGATCATCACTTGAACTGAGCTCAGATACTTACTGGGAGCTGGTGAAGATGCTTCAGCGCCTAGATCAGGGGTCGGCTACCTTTAACACTCAAAGAGCCATTTGGACCCATTTCCCACAGAAAAGAAAACACCGGGAGCCGCAAAACCCTTTTGACATCTAAAATGAAGATAACACTGCATATATCGTTTTTTACCTTAATGCTAGGTATATCTTCATTATGAGTTAGCTGCAGCTCTTGTTCAGTCACTAAAAATTGTTATTTTTAATCTTACATTATAAACTAGTAGGACTGCTTTCATATATTTTGAATAGGAGAACAGCTTCCTGAAGAGTCAAAGTCAGTGCTAAAGGGCTGCATGCATTAAACAGCAAACCCCATAAGTTTGTCAGCAGTAAAAGCAAATGAATCTATCCGCGTATCATTAAACGTTTGGTTTTCTTCAGAAACTTTTCTTCGATTTATCCATGGTTGGCCTACGGGGCGAGGGGGGGGGGAGCTCAGTAAATCCACAGATCGGAGGCTGTGCTGGAGATATAGGTGTGTTTAGTGACTGATTAGCAGATAAACAGTCAAGTGCTGTGAATTGTGACAGGTCCCAAGCGTAGCCTTTAACATTCAGATGAAGGAGATTACATTGGGACAAAAAGAACCTTTTCAGCAGCATTTCATTTGGTGTAACATGAGAGCCTGCAGGAAGCTTGTTTAGCAGAGGAATGTAGCGATTTACTTAACTAGCTAGCGATTTACTTAACTAGCTAGCACTGCGTTCCTGAGTGGAGCTTTGAGCAGACCAGCAGCTGTGCCGGCGCGTGTTTTGACCGACGGAGCCGCAGCAGAGGGGTTCAAGAGCCACGTGCGGCTCCGGAGCCGCAGGTTGCCGACCCCTGGCCTAGATTGTGAATATCTAGTTTGTAGTTATCTTCCTATATGTTTGTATAAAGAAGCTGTCCCCCAGCTGTTAACATCTGAAAGTATTACACTGTAAACTGTAATCCATGGTGTTCTGTAACGTTGCCCCTCACTTCATCTTGAGGCTGGGGTAAAGTTTATTGAATTTAATTTCTGCCTTCTGTACTGAGCCTTTATTGGGGACAAAGGTTAGTGAAAACTAGCAGGGTGTTTAAGGCTACAATTCTGTGCACACTTTCCTAAGAGTGAACCCCTTTGAATGCAGTTTTTATGCAGTAGAAATGTGCATGTGATTGCATTGCAAATCCCGTTAAGAGCCACTTTGGTGTCATGGCTGGAGTGCTGGATAACAGTTTGCCTGCTTCAGTCTGTCCTGTGACTGTGTGCTTGTTTGTTCAGAGCACAGGATGATCCCCAAGGCTTCTTTCCTTCCTCATCCCCCCACTGAGGATTTCTAAATAAGGCAATCCATAGATAACTTTTTCTTAGCATTCAACCCTGTGATAGGAGGAGCTCCACTTGCTTCTTTAAGCTGGATCTTAGTTGCTGGGATGTAGTTTTAATGAATAGGCATTTATTGAATTATATTATTTTTGTTTGGTTTGGGTTTTTGTCTTGTATATCATCCTGAAAGGGTTTTACCTTCAACAGTGGGCTAAAAAGACATGTAAATGAATAAAATAAATGAAGTGTGTTGATGCCAGTGGAACAGAAACCACTGATAACCCTTTCTCTGCTGCGCTTTAGTTGCTTGGGGAAGAATAGGAGATCCTCTCTGAAGGAGACTTGGCGGGAGGGGTGCAAGGGGGGAGGAGAGGAGGGGGGGGTCTATGAGCAGAATCATTTTGTCTCTTGAAATACATTTTAGATATTTATTGTTTAAAGCATGTACTTTTTCTGATATGTTTATGGTAAAGGCAGGAAATATTTTGAGCAGGCCTTTGGGAGGTTGTGCATAGCAAATGTGATCTGTAGTACTAACTGTGTAGCTGTCCTTAACACACAATATCCAGGTGAAATTTCCTTTCTTTACATCAGATGAAGAGCTCCCTGATTATATCATGGTCATGGTAGCCAACAAGAAGAGTCAGGAACAGATGACAGAAGATCTCTCCCTCTTTCTAGGAAACAACACTGTGAGATTTACCGTATGGTATGCTTGTCTTCCATCTAATTCTGTGGACTTCAGTTATATGATATTTTGGTCCTAAACCTTGCTTCACAGCTATGTGTGTGTTTAGGATGGAATATAGCTTAAGATATATGAATAATTCCACTACTGAAAAATCAGTAAAGGTTTGACTGCTCAGTTCCCCTGCCTTCCAGGTGCTGCAGTGAACTGATTCAGTGCATTTGCTGTGCATAAACCATGTAGCTTCTGTGGATAGTAGAGACTATGACATCAGGGATAAATGTGCAGTTTGGTACTGCTGCTTTTCCCTGCTCCCTTCCTGCTCTCCCACTGGGGGGCTATTGTCAAACCCAATGCATAAGAAGCATCTATGTGGGTATGCCTTTAGCTGTTGGTATAGATAAATCAGTGGTCGATGAAAACAGTAAACTCAGAATTTATCCTTTTTATGAACCTGGGTGGTTAATTTGAGATTTCTCACTTCCACCTGCCTCATGGCAGTGCAGGAATTTGAACATGGATCTCGGGTGTTCCAGTTCAGTGCATTACACTGTTCTGATGTGGATAATAATTCTACATTCCTTAACAAGATTAAGTGCTGGAGCTGAGCAGCCCATACTTCCTCTTTATTATTGCAAACTGACTTGGGAACAGTAATCCTGGCTTCATAAGTAATATTAATTCAGAGTTCACAGCTTTGGATGAAGCCAAATCTTTGTGCCAATACCAGCATGTGACCAAAGGGGTAGTGGGAAGAACATTTGGCCTCAATACTTGTGCACAGCTTTAGAAACCATACTTAGAGATACCTTGAATTATCATCTTAGCAGACCAACCTGTTGCACTGGATCCATAAAATTAACATGTAAAGGAAGTGTTTTCCCTTCTTATTTGGTGGGAGAAACTGCCATAAATAGTGAAAGATTCCCCCTAGGGAAGCTTTATGGAAAAATAGATGTTCAGCATTTAAAGCATTTTCTTATCTTTCAGGCTTCATGGTGTATTAGATAAGCTTCGGTCTGTTACCACAGGTAAGTAAAAGAACCATCTAGCCTTTTATTTTACAATAAATCTTCAAGAAGGAATACTGTGGGTGAACTTTCATTTTTTAAAAATATTTATTTATTTATTTATAAACAATCTTATACTTGTTGAGTTATCCTGGGAAGGGTGTAATTCCTGCAATCTGTGCAGTAAATAGTCCTTTAAGAGAAGATCTTGCATAAAGGAAAAATACTGAAAGTATGACTTGCTGCAGAGTGAATCACAGAAGGTATGCTTCTGTTGAAAACTGCAACAGTTGCATTTTCATTTGTGTATAAATGCTGTGTGTAGCTTTGAACTCAGCTCTGATATACCTGTCTTCCCAGAGCCTACCAGTCTAAAATCTCCTGAATCAAACATCTTTGAGACCAATTTGCCTTCTGGCAAAAGCACATCAAGTGTAAGTGAGGAAAGAAGAGGGGAAGAAATCCTACATCCTCTTACAGTCTCAAGTTCTCGTCCAGAAAGGACTGATTCCAGAGTTTCAACTAGCTCTCAGGAACAAAGAGCCTTTGACACCCGGTAAGGTTTTTACTTTCATCTTAAGAACTAATAGCACATAGTAATCTCTGAAGTCTTGTGGTAGTCTTAGATCAGCCACTGTTTTTCAAGATCCATTCAGACATAATCCAGATTGTTTTTTGGAACTACATAAACAAGCCTGATGAGCATGTACTCCCCCTTGTCCTCATGCCCTCTGATCCCTTCCACCTGTTCTGATTTAGTGACAAAACACAGTTCTAACTGTAGCAAATTCTAATAAAAATGGTTTATACAAACTGTTGTGTGCCTAGAAACAAAGATTGTGAACAGTACTTTAAACTAGAGTTGCTCTTTTGGCAAACAAACAAAAATATGGTTTGCCATTAAATTCAAAGTAAGGGAAGGAATTGAGGTGCATGAAGCAAAGGAAGGAGGGAGAGGGAGGATGTTGGGATTGTTTGCAGCACTAAACTACAGATGACTGTCACAGCTGAATACTTCTGCCTCCTTCTGCAGTATACAGGTAATAAAACTGTTCTGTAATACTGGTTTATGATTAAGGGTTGCTGCAAGGGATCCTTCCTCAGCTTGGTGTGCTTCAGATGTTTTGGACTACCTGTCCCATACTTCTGATCATTGCTATGCTGGTAGAAAGCAGTTAAAATTCAAAGCATGTGGGGCTTACAAAGTGGAGAGAAGCAGCTGTAAGTATTGCTGAGGTAATGAGGAATGCCTCTAAAACTTCCCTCCAGAGCACACTTTTGTTGGAGTAAGTCCAAGATAAGTTTACACATGAGTAAACATGTTTATGATTGCATGCTGAAGCTTGTTTTGAGGAGCAATTCAGACTGTCTAGAAAAGAATGGAACTTGTGCTTTGCATTGTGCAATAACTTGTATTCCATTTAAATAATGCAAGTGCAGAGTTGAAGTTCAGGGGATGTAAAATATATTTTTGTCTTATTCCTTGTATTGCTCACTTTCTTTACAGAATGTTTAAAGATTTCTGACATGAGATAGTTGATCTCTCTTTGTCATGTAGGCAGCCCTGCCAAGATGATTCCCCATCCCTCTTGATGTCCACGGTGAAACCGCTCAGGGAGCTCTCCCCATTGGAAGCTGTGATCGACATTAAGCCTGAGCCAGATGATCTCATCGATGAAGACCTCAATTTTGTGCAGGAGAATCGGTTGCCCCGGAAGAAGCCTCTGGTAACAGTGACATATGGCTCTTCTCGCCCATCTGCTGAAATCTATCGCCCACCAGCCAGTCGAAATGCTGAAGGCAACATACACTTTCAGCGGTTGATGCAACAAAGCAACCTACAGACTGCCAAGCAGCTTGAGATGCAGGGAGGCAGGTCACTGGAAACCATCCAGCTCTGTGATCCCGACACATGTGGCAGCTTGGCTGAGAGTTACAGGCCCACTTCCAAAGGGAACGCTGATAAAATTAGCAGTGAGGTAAGTATGTGAGCCCAAGCAATGCTGGTATTTAACACATCCTCAACAAATGGAGATCACCATGGACACCTGGAGTCCCCTGTTCTAAACATAGCAAGAGTGGTCAAAAATACCTCACACGTGACATCTAAACTTTGTGGCATGCAGACTCTAGTAACTTTAGCATTTTGGAGGAGAAACATGAGTGTGTGTTGTTAGCCTTGAATAGAGTGAGTAGCAGTTGTCATGCTGATCTTCTGCCCGTTGGCATAGTTGGGGTCTGGTGAGAGTGCTCTGTAGAACTCTAGCATGCCAGGGCATGTTTAATGGTAATACTAAATCAGAGGATTTCAGGCTGTCTGCTTTGTGGAAAGTTGTCAATTTGCTGCCATTGCTGTGGAGCTCCTTAGCATCATAAAGGATTCCGTAGGAAAATCTAGGCTGGACAGTCACTTACCAGATAGCTGGTGTCATAGAACAGTTAGAGCAGGGATGCTGAACCTCTTTCAGCTCGAGGGCTGAATTCTATTTTAGAGAAGCTTGCAGGGGCTGCATTCCAGTAGTGGGTGGGACTGAAACACACCTGTTCTAGTTTAAAACTCTTAACTGGCAATAAGAAGCCTTAGCAGACATATTTCAGTAATTCAGAATGGGCTAGGGGAGGAAAGAGAAGAAAAGCACACAACAATCTGTGGTCAGTGAAAGAGAGTAGGATTGGGGAGGGGATGCAGCTAGGTTGGGGACTCCAGAGGAGTGGATAAGGACCTTAGGCAGACAAGACATGGCCACTAGAACTGAGGTTCTGCACCCCTATGTTAGTGGTTTGAACTGTTACCTGGGAGAGCTGACGTCAAACCGCACATAGTCATGAATCTCACTGGGTGATCTTGGCGCTTTTATTCTTTTTTTGGTCTAGCCTACCTCACAGGGTTGTTGTGAGGATAAACTATGTGAGGGGAAGAACCATATACTCCATGGTTCTACGTGCCTTGGTGTGAGAAATGATAAATACTGCATATAGGCATAGTACATTACATTGTACAAATGGAGAGTGCATCCCAGAACACTCTTAGCACTTCCTTGCTAAGGGGTGGGGTGGGGTGGGGTGGGGGGTCATGATGGTCAAAGCTGTAATTCCAAGATTCCTGGCTGTGTTTTACTTGATGCCAGAAGCTTCTGAGGAGGTTGAAATTCTTTAGAAATACTTGAAAACCACTGGGCTACTTTGAACTGGAGGGTAAATCAACCTTGCTTGTTTATCTGGCTCTTTTTAGCAACCCACATGCCTTGATGTTTAGGTTGCATTGAAACTAGATATGAAAGCTAGTTTTCAATCCATGCATGTAATTAAATCAAATGAATTTGTTCTAGCATTTATACCATATTCTTCAGTTGGAAAGGCTCCCAGAATAGCTTACCAGTCAGTGGAAATTAGACAGCCTCTGCCTGCACAGTTACAATATAAAAAGGCACAATGCAAAAGGAAAAGGAAATGGTAAAGCAAAAAGGGAAACTAGAGAACTCAGGAACCAGTTCTTCGTTATATGGTTCTCAGAAGATCCAGCTGTGGTGAACATGAGCCATTCATGTTCACATGCGTCCAGGCAGTAGCTTGCTGATGTGACCTTCCTTAAAATGGATGTAGTAAAAGCAACTTGTAGTTGGTTTTATAGGGTGGGGCTTCCACCATCTGCGACCTAGTTGGAATCTGCCAGTGTCTTGTTACCCACACCACTGCAGGCAACACTTAGCGGGCCAGATGATATCACCACACCTCCTGCCTTGAGGCAGATGGCTCTGCTGTTTTTTCTCACTGGGCACTTGGTTCGGATGGCCTCACTGAAGGGTGAGGAAGGGCCCAGCCTAGCTGGTCAGAACAGCGGTGAGTGGAAATTATAGTACTTCACTGCCTGGATATTATACCATGTCAAGGCCACTGCATAAAAGGGAATGGAATGGATAGATATCTGACTTTCAATATGGGTAAATCATAATACTGGAGAAATATTGAATTGCCCTGTGTGATTGAAAATATTCCTGTGAGTAGCTCTTCTTTGCATTCAGTTGCTGCTTTCTGAATTGAGTTGGCTGTGAAAGCAAAAATTACAGAGGACAATGTGGAATATATCCAGCTTTAAAATCTTTTCGGTTTTGGACCCACCCCACAGACTTAGGAAGCCTTTGGCGTGACTGCTGGCTTGTATCCCCAGTTCAGAAGCAGCAACGGTATGCATGAGCAGTATCTGGGGACAAGCTGCAGCTCTGAACAAGACATGAGTATTGTAGTTGGCAGTGCTGATGATCCTGGATAAGGCTCAGCTTGATAGGGATGGGATCTCCCCCCACACGTCTCTCACCCAAAGCAAGAGTTTCACAGCTTGGCTCCATTGCTGAATGCACAAAAGAGAACGGAAGCCAGGAGTGCATTTTCCCAGTTTTCATATGAGGCTTCTTCCTGTGCAAATCAGCTCTAGCCTTGATCATTTCCAGTTTGTAATGCACTTTCCCTGGAGCTGCCCTTGAAGTCAGTCCAGAACTTTCCATCTGATTCAGACTGCTGCTGCCAGATTTCTTCATGGATCAGCAGGATGGATTATACTATGCCAATTTTATGCAAGCTTTATTGGTCACTAGTTTGCTTCTGAGCTTATTTCAAATCCTTGTTTTTTAAGTCCTGAGTAGGCGTGTTTTGGAAAGCACATCTTCCACACATGAACCTACTTGAGATCTTAATTCTGTTTCTGAGGCTCTACTCATTATTTCCGCACCAACTATGTGTCTGTGGCATCTGAATTACAGAATAGTCTAAGAGAGGTTCATCTGCCCCTCCTTTTTATATGCACACTCCAAGCTGTTTTATTGCAGAGGTTGATTTTTAGTTAGGTCCTCCAGATTATATATCTTATTGGTGCTGCTTGCTGGTGTCTGTTATGGTTGTTTAGCTGTGTTTAGATTGTATTTTACCTTCTTTCATGGCTGTATCTTTTTAACTTTGTTCAACACATTGAAAAACATTCAGTGGTGGGATATAAATATGGAAATAAATAAAATCTTTGTTCATACTCATCCCTTGTTACCAATGCCTCTGCCTTTCCAGTTGTGTCTTCCTCTGTTAAAATTTAGACTATAAGCTTTTGGGACTATTTTAAAAAAGGTGTCTTTTAACT